CTATGCAGGGAGGACCTGTGCAGGGAGGACCTATGCAGGGAGGACCTGTGCAGGGAGGATCTATGCAGGGAGGACCTATGCAGGGAGGACCTATGCGGGGAGGACCTATGCGGGGAGGACCTGTGCAGGCTGGGCCAAGGCTGAGAGGAGGTTCCCTCATTTGGCAGACATCTACTGAGAGAACTCTGTGCACCAGGCCTTGTTGTGGACACTGGGGACAGAAACAAAGGACACGGGTTAGAGTCCCATCAGTTAGGGCGCTCAGCCCTCTGAGGGCTGAGATTCACAGCCAGAAGCTGTGGGCAGCTCCCTCGGGGTAGGAACCCCTCATGTCCTGAGGAAAGGGCACTAAAGTGTTTTACCAGAAGGTAGGGCCACACAGGTTGCTCAAGAACCACCCTGGGCTAATCCCATTCAGTTCTGGATGAAATCCAGGAACCTGTATTTGTTAAGTAACCAATAACTTGAATTGATATGAATTTTTTAAAGATGTGTTTTTATTTTGATATGTATGCGCATTTGCCTGGGTGTATATGCACCATATGTATACAGTGTCCATAGCGGCCAGAAGAGGCATCAGATCCCTGGGAACTGGAATTACAGATGGCTGACAGCCGCCTTGTGGGTGTTGAGAACCTGACCCAGATCCTCTGCAAGAGCAGTAGGTGTTCCTAACCACTGAGCCATCTCTCCAGCCTCCGATTTATTTAATTTTTAATTATGCATATGTGTGTGTCTCAGTGTGCCTGAGAGCACAGGTGCCCACCAAGACTAGAGGCATCGGGTCCCCCGGAGCCATAGTTACGGGCTATTGTGAGCTGCCTCATGTGGGTGCTGGTATCCGAACTCTGGTCTTCTGGCAGGGCAGGACACACTAAAGTCATCAGAGAGGAAGGAGCCTCAGTTGATTAAATGCCTCCATGAGATCCAGCTGTAAGGCATCTTCTCATTTAGTGATCAATGGGGGAGGCCCAGCCCATGGTGGGTGGTGCCATCCCTAGGCTGCTGGTCCTGGGTTCTGTAAGAAAGCAGGCTGAGCAACTGAGGGGAAGCAAGCCAGTAAGCAGCACCCTCCATGACCTCTGCATCAGCTCCTGCCTCCAGGTTCCTGCCCTGTGTGAGTTCCTGTCCCGACTTCCTTCAGTGATGAACAGCAATGCTGAAGTGTGAGCCTAATAAACCTTTTCCTCCTCAACTTGCTTTTTGGTCATGGCGTTTTGTCACAGCAAAAAACCCTAACTAAGACACTCCACCTTATTTTTTGAGTGGGGTCTCTCACTGAACCTGGAGCTCACCTATTTGGCTAGACTAGCTGGCCAACACGTTTCATGGATCTGCCGGTCTCTGCCTTCCCAGGGCTGGGGGTTACAGATGTGCTCCACCACATCTGGCTTCTCCTGTGTCCTGGGAATCCACACTCAGGCAAGCTCTCTATCCACAGAGCCACCTCCCCAGCCCCAGAAATTTGTATTTGTTACAAACCCCACGGGCGACTCTTTGGAATCAAAGACCCGGGAGATTTCTCAGATATAGCCAAGCTTGAAAATGGTTTACTTCAGCATCTTTGGCAAATGGCCTTCAGAAGTTTGATGAGAGTTCTTATGGATAAATAGACAGTTATCCATTTTTATTTTTTGAGACAAGGTCTCTCTGGGCAGCCCTGGCTGTCCTGGAACACTCTATGTAGACTAGGCTGGCTTCCAACACATAAGAGATCCACCTGCCTCTGTCTCCAGAGTGCTGGGATTAAAGGTGTGTGCCGCCATGCCCAACATCTCTCTTTTTTCTGTATTGAGTCCTTCCAGTGCCAGCCATTGGGAGAGCCCACCAAGAGGCAAAAGCCTGTTGTGGAATAGAACATTTGTTTAACTGTATAAAGATGTGTTGCTGTTTCACCTTGCCCGCCTAAGGCACCTGACTGCTCTAATAAAAAGCTGAACGGCCAATAGATAGGCAGAGGAAGAATAGGCAGGGCTGGCTGGCAGAGAGAAAAGGTGAGTCAGCCAGACAGCCAGGGGTCAGACAGACAGACAGGGGCCAGACAGACAGACAGGGGCCAGACAGACAGACAGCCAGGGACCAGACAGACAGCCAGGGGCCAGACAGACAGGAAGGAAGCAGGAAAGCAGCATAGACAATACATAGACGAGGTAAACGGGCGTTGGGGCCACACATAGATTAACAGATACAGGTTAAAATTAAAGTTTAAAAAACTAGCTAGAGGGCTGGAGAGATGGCTCAGAGGTTAAGAGCACTGACTGCTTTTCCAGAGGTCCTGAGTTCAATTCCCAGCAACCACATGGTGGCTCACAACCATCTGTAATGAGAATCTGGCGCCCTCTTCTGGTGTACAGGCAAACTTGCAGAAAGAACACTGTTTCTATAATAAATAAAATAAATCTTAAAAAAAAAAACAAAAACAAAAACAAAAAACTAGCTAGAAACAGGCCTAAGTGAAGGCCAAGCATTCATAATTATGGTAAGCCTCTTTGTCTTGATTTAGGGGCTGGTGATCCAAAAAGGCCTGCTACACTGACCAGCATGAAAGAGGGTGCCTGGGGACCAGAAGGGACAAATGGAGACTGCCAGCGTCCTGTGCCCGCCTCACATCAGTTGTAGGAACTGCCTGTAGCTTTCCTTCAGGTGAAGCATCTCCATCCACTTCACATTCTTTTTTTTTTTTTTTTTTTTATTTATTATGTATACAGTATTCTGCCTGCATGTATGCCTGCAGGCCAGAAGAGGGTGCCAGATCTCATTACGGATGGTTGTGAGCCACCTTGTGGTTGCTGGGAATTGAACTCAGGACCTGTGGAAGAACAGCCAGTGCTCTTAACCTGTGAGCCATCTCTCCAGCCCTCACATTCTTTCTTACTGGATAAAATAAAATAATGTTTTTGAGAACAATTTACAGATTTAAAGGGTTTTTATTCTATGGTTTATTTTATCCATTGATTTGCCTAACTTTCTTAGTGCATTTTATTTCATATTTTTACCCCAAATTTGTCCCGAGGGACCTACGGGAAAAATCAGGTTCCTCCTATCATGGTCCAGATGGAGGCTTTGTCCCAGCACAGCTGCTCTGAGACCTCCCTGCCCCTTTCCTGGAGCCCCTTCTTAAAGGATGAAGTGACAGGTGACCCTCAGCCTTCATCCTCCACCTTCTCACCCAGACTCTTGGCTTCTTCACCTAGCAACAGACCCGTTAACTCAGAGAACTGCTCTGATTGGTTGCTGACAGCAAGGGTCTTCCCCTAACCTAGACTCTGTTTCTCTTTACCTCCATCTTGCCCGCTCGCTCCCCAAATAGACGTTGTTAGAGCAGCAGCCCCTCCCCAGAGCAATGGTACTCCGTGTGGAGCTGGTCCTGGTTCTCCGCACCCTGATAACCTTCCTGAGTCCCCAGGGAGTACGGGCCATCAAGGGTAAGTGGTGGGGACACCTGGGGGTGGGAGGAGGCGTGGGGAGACAGCACAGGGGGAGAGTGTCTCTCTCTGTCTCTGGTACGTGGGCAACTCCCTCCCCCGTAGACAAATCCCTGCCACTCTGTCACATCCACTCGGGAACCAGCTACGGGCTGCCAGGGTCTCCTCTGGGCTCCTTTTACATTCACAGTCCTCCTCATCTCTTCCTCTTTTCTGAGGCCCATGCCCTCACCGGCCTCACCTCACGGCACCCTGGCTCCTCTACCACTTCCTGGCTTGCAACGTTCAATTCTTGTCCGGCTTCACTGAAGCATTCTCCACTGTGTCTGTACGTGAGCTCCTGACCCGCACACCAAAGACTGATTTCCTCCATTGGACACCACGCTGGACACACGACAGTTTCAGCTCATAACTGTAGAGCTCTGAAAGAGCTGAGATGTAGCCCCAGATATCCAGGAAACTGAGTACTCTGCCATGGGGTGAGATCCATTCAATTGCCACTCTCTGAGATGAAAACTGGGATGTGAACTTTGAACTCCTGATTTATTTATTTACTTATTTATTTTTTAGAGTCAGGATTTCTCTGTGTAGCCCTGGCTGTCCTGGGGCTCACTCTGCAGACCAGGCTGGCCTCGAACTCGGAGATCCGCCTGCCTCTGCCTCCCAAGTGCTGGGATTGAAGGTGTGCGCCACCACTACTTGGCTTGAGCTCCTGACTTAATGTCCAGTGTATCCTACAGTGCTTTGGGCTCTTTTCTCTCCCTCTCCACCTCCATGTGTTTACAAGACAGAATTTCATTGAACTATGTGGCCCAGGCTGGTCTTGAACTTATGATCCTCCTGCCTCCACCTCTGAGTGCTGTGGTGGCAGGACTATGTCACCATGCCTGGCTTGTGGAAAGCTGTTCTTTCCCTCACCCTAGTCTCTGGGCTGTGTGTGTGAGGACAGTCCTGTTGTGCCATAGCAACCCTTGAAGGGTTGCCGAGAGATGGAGGGGGCGTGGCCAGTACACACATGGTGGAGCCTTCATGCCCCCGTCTGTCCCTGTCCCTTACCCACTCGTACACTGCCTCTTTGCCAGCTGCTCCCCTTCAGTACTTCCCCTTAACCATTTCCTTCTAATGCCAACTTTACCATCTGACACACAAGACCTGACCTCATGGCTGTGGCTACAGTTACAGTAGATGATGGAGGAACGGAAACCGAGACAAGGGTGGGCACCCCCTTTCCCAGCCTGCTTTGCTTGCTCCCCCATGTGTGTACTGGCCACGCCCCCTGGGTCCCCTCTCTTCTGTCTTCCGTCTCTCGGCAACTCTTCAAGGGTCTGCTATGGCATAACAGGACTGTCCCCACACACAGCCCAGGACGAGGCCAGGCTGAGACTCAGCAGGTCACACACCTGGGTGACGCACGCTTCTCTTCCCTCCCATCCTGCCCTCACCCAACACAGCTGACCACATGGGCTCCTACGGGCCGGCCTTCTACCAGTCTTACGATGCTTCTGGACAGTTCACACACGAATTCGATGGGGAACAAATTTTCTCTGTGGACCTGAAGAGCAGGGAGGTCGTGTGGCGTCTGCCTGAGTTTGGGGACTTCCTATACTCGAACTTTCAGAGTGGGCTGAACAGCATTGCCATGATCGGAGCTCATCTGGACGTCTTGGTGGAACGCTCCAACCGAACCAGAGCCATCAGTGGTACCTGGCCCTCCCTCTGCCCCCCTAACTAGGCAGGGGAGGGGACTGGACAGGAACCCCCATCCCTCTCCAGTGTCCCCCTGCCCCAGTAGGTACCACCCCAGAGCGCCTCTGCAGGTGGCCACATGGGAGGAAGTGTCCCTTAATCTTGACCCTAATGAGGCCCCGCTGTAAGGGATGGGACTTTGGGATTCAGGGTCTCATTCCTCCTAGTGCCTCCCAGGGTGACCGTCCTCCCCAAGTCTCGCGTGGAGCTGGGAAAGCCCAATGTCCTCATCTGCATGGTGGAAGATATCTTTCCCCCTGTGATCAGCATCACCTGGCTGCGCAACAACCAGCCCGTCACCAAGGGAGTGACCCAGACCAGCTTCTACTCCCAGCCTAACCACAGGTTCCGGAAGTTCCACTACCTGACCTTCGTGCCCTCAGCCGAGGACGTGTACGACTGCAGGGTAGAGCACTGGGGCCTGGACGCACCGCTCCTGCGGCACTGGGGTATGGAACCCCGTGCTAGCCCGTTCACGTCCATGTCTCCTCTACTCCAGGTCCCTTCCTGTGCCCTCTGACCCTTGCTTCCTCTCCCAGAGCCCCAGGTGCTTACCCCACCACCAGACACCACAGAGACGCTGGTCTGTGGCCTGGGCCTGGCCGTCGGCTTTGTGGGCTTCCTTCTGGGCACGGTTCTCATCATCACAGGTACGCGCATGCCCAGTGTCCACAGGCGCGGAAGCCGCGGGAGTCTGGGGGTGAAGGGAGGAGGGCTTGTGTGTGTCAGGGAGGGGAGATCAGAGACTGTGACAAGCAGTGGTGAGGGGAGAGGAAGGGGGGAAAAGGGAGGGGAGGGAAGGGGAGGGGAGGAGAGAGGAGGGAAGAGGAGGGGAGGGGAGGGGAGAGAAGAGGAGGGGAGGGGAGGGAAGAGGAGGGGAGGGGAGGGGAGGGAACAGGAGGGGAGGGAATAGGAAAAAGGAAAGCAGGGTTTGGACAAGGTGGGCAAGTGAATGTGAACGGCCTTGGCCATCTGGGTTTTGCTACTTTAGGTAACCACTCCTATAAGAGAACCCCGTGAGAGATGCCCTGTGGATTCCCCGCAAGCTTCTGGAAGCTTCTGCATGCTCAGCTCTAGCCTACTACATTGCTGACCTCCAGTGGCATCGACCTCTGTTCTACAGGTCCCTCATTTTCTGGCCCCCAAACTCCAGGTAGAACTTGGGGGGCACAGTCTGTGACCCTCCTACCCAGTGCACCCACAGCTCTGATTCATCCAAACCTCTGGCAGCCGCACTAAATTCTCTTATGGTGTTTGCCCTTTGTCCTTTGTTTGGGGTCTGGGGCAAAAGTTACAGCTGAGGGATACTGAGCACCAGGAGGAGTTCCGGGTGGTGACCACCCAGCATGGCCACGGTGGTGATTGCCGGCCGGTCTGTGCCTTGTTTGGCCCACACCTTGTCAGCTGGCCGTTTCTCCAGGGCTTCAGGAAATTCATCTCCCTGGTGCAGACCTCAAGGAAAGGGATACAGAGTATCCGACTATGGCAACTCCCGCCAACAGTGACAGCTTTGTAAGGCACTGGGCGAGGAGCTCTCACAGGGATTCCGCTCCTACGGGAACACCATCTCCCTTTTGGACGTCAATCGCATCTTGTGAATAACAAACAGCTGCCCAAGGCTTAGGATGGCTGCGGCCTTCAGTGGTGTTCGTCATATTAGGCAGGAGGACAGCAGAGTAGGTCTGCAAGATACTTGGAGGCAGGAGATCCCGGGCTGGAGAGATGGCTCAATGGTTAGAACGCTGGCTGCTCTTGCAGAAGACCTGGGTTCAATGCCCAGCACCTACCAGCACTTCCCAGATGGTGGCTCACAACCATCTGTAACTCCAGTTCCAGAGGATCCTGAGTCCTCTTCTGCCACCACCACCCCAGGCATCAGGCACACATGGGGTGCACAGACATACTTTACTAATGCAGGCAAAACTTTACTAATTGAAAATATTGAAATATTTCAAATTGAAATAATAATTAAATCTTAAAAGAGAAAAAGACCAAGCCGGGCAGTGGTGGCGCATGCCTTTAATCCCAGCACTCGGGAGCCAGAGCCAGGCAGATCTCTGTGAGTTCTAGGCCAGCCTGGTCTACAGCGTGAGCTCCAGAACAGCCAGACTGTTAACACAGAGAAATCCTGTCTCAAAAAACAGCTCTCTCTAACCATGTGATACAGAAGATTTTAACCATGAGCAAACCTGAAACACACAAAGAACATACAGGTCATTTGTGTCAATCACCAAATGAGTGACACAGATTTGGGGTTTCCAAGGAAATGCCTTAGGAATCTCTCGGGATCTTCTGGATTAGGGTCTCAGGTTAGGAAGGTAGCGACTTCTTAACACACTCCAGATGACTCTAATGTCACTGTCCCGATCCTAGGCTGACACAGGTACTACTAGGGGCCGTTGGCAGGGCACCCTGAGGTCTGAGTTGGACCAATCCTTCTGGAGAAACTGGGTTTGTGGTTTGCTAAAGCATCCACGTTGATCAAGATATAAATAGAACCACAACTCCGGCTTAAACTCTGAGTTTGGTCCTGGGAAGGAAAGGGTTGATGAAGAAAGACTTTGTAGGCGTCCCAGGAGAGAGCAGGTCTACCAGAAGTGCCGAGGAAGTGGGCAAAGTTGTCTAAAGTCAAAGTTTCTGTTTGCCAGCAGCAGCAAGATCTTCTACACCCAAGGAGAAGCTGTTTACCATAAAGGCACTCGGGCGGCACACCAAACCCAGGCCTGGTTTGTCCTGTCTCCTGGGAACAGAGCTGGGACCCGACAAGCCGGCAGAACTCAGCCTATCTCCTTGCTGGGCCACATGGCAGCCGCATGGTAGCCACAGCCCTGTGCTCAGCCCACATGGTAGCCACAGCTCTGTGCTCAGCCCACATGGTAGCCAC